TGAACTAGTCCAATCGGAGGCTAACCCGGCCCGGATCCGATCGATTTTGTCATGCAGGTAACACCCAAATTCCTCTGCCCGACCCTGCAAAGGGACATCCCGGACCCTCTGATGAAGGAGGGAGCGGGACACCCTAAACAGGGCGGCAGATCGGTTACCTGCAGACGCGATAAGAGCGGAGAAATAGTTGCGTTTTGCCGCTCTTATCGCTACTAGGTAAGTCCTTAAATGGGACTTTACCAATTTCCGATCAGATTCGGAGCAGGTGGCCCTCCAATTACTCTCTAGGCATCTCTTCCGACGCTTCATCACCCTCAGCTCAGATGAGATATTGTTTCATTTTCTGTTACTTTATTTGGTTTTATTTTGACTATAAGCCACATAGGGAATAAGCAATTTAATATAGTATAGTATAGCATAGCATAGCATAGCACAGCACAGCACAGCACAGCACAGCACAGCACAGCACAGCATAGTATATATGCAATATATTAAAATGTGTATAAAGGAATAAATGCTATGCATTTATATTATATATATAAGCAATATATTAAAAAGTGTATAAAGAAATAAATGCTATGCATTTTTCACTGTGTTTTAAGAGGAAGTGTCACTTACCCTGCAGTATTCATCAATCGGCTTTAATCTCTTCACAGCTACATCTCGAATGTGACTTCTTCGGAATAGGATTTTCCCTAGTGATAAAGAAGATACAGAGATTAAATGTGTGTCTTGCCAAAATTATTTATATCATTGTCATTTTGATTCACATATAGATGGAAATAGCTGATGCATTCTACTTTACACCTAAGTAGCCATAAGTGGGTTTTGCTAAATTTACTTATTCTGAAATTTTTAGAGAAGGAAAAGTGCACAATTATTCATATATATTTCTGTAGTTGTTTTAATAAACATGATGTTCAAACATAACTTTCACTTACTTGTGTATTACTACACACATTTTGAAGTAAGAATTGCAACATCCCAAAAAGGAATCAAAAGGATAATTATGAACTAATTGATCAATACACAAAAGTTTTGAGTACCTTAAGTAGTATTTTGTTTCAGAGTATACAGAATTAAATAAGCAAATAAATAATAAAACATTCTCACTGATTCACCAGTTTATTATTTCCTCCCTCTCCACTCCATTTCCTATCTTCCAACAAAAACTATATGTTTATATAGTATGTATTATACATACATACATATTCTAGAAATGGACAGCAATCTATAAAAGCTTGTTTAAAAAGCAGACAAACACATTTCTCTGACGTATTTTAAAGAAGGTAACCAAATAACTTTAGCTTGCCATGCTTTTCAAATCAACACAAATCCATCCCAAATGGATGGAAATTTCTTTTAAATTCATTGAAAATATTAGCTTAAGGGAGTTAGATCTGTTTTTGTGTATTGACAGATGTATATTTCATTCCATTGTAATTCAGTAATACTCCTAATTCAGCCATATTCTGAATTCAGCTATCTGCTGAAGAAGACAAAGATACAATATTAAAGAAGCACATTCTAAGTAAAATTAGTATGATTTATTCAGCAAGTACTTAGAGGCAAATTGGAAAATGTGCACAGACAGAAAAGGTAATCTAATGTATACCCAAATGTTTATCTAAAATGGAAAAAGCATGGAAAGTAAAAACCTGCTAAATTATTAATGAAGACTAGTAAATGTGCAACTATAATATGTCTAAAAAGACATTGCTGATTGAGAATATTAGATTAGAGCTAAGATTACTACTGTGGACATAATCTAATGGTGTCATTTATTGTCCTTAACTTGACAGTTACGATTTGCTATCCCATTTGTATTAAGCTGTTACTCAGAGTTCAGAATTCTGTACAAAAATTTGTTACTCTCATAACCACCACTACTATTTTAAAAATTCTCCATTTGGCTGCTGTAATTTGTAGTTAGCTCAATTTTCCTCTTTAGAGGAGGAAAGTAGTAGCATTAAAACACACACTGAGGATGTAGAAAAGTAGGTTAATAAGATCTTATATAGGATTTACTCCAGTCAGATGAAAAGAGAGGAATAAGAAAGAAGGGATAAAGGACTAAAGTATTTGGGCTAGCAGAAGCAATAGGAAAGATAAACAATTAGGTTCTGGACTTAGTATTTTCAATGATATATCACACATGCATATATCAATTCTGCAAACCTTATTAAGCTTTAAATGTAATATACAGTATACAATCAATATAATTCATTCATAATAGTTCTTGTGCATAGATGATTGGATTTACATTTGATTCTTTAAAGAATATCAAGACCAAAGCTACTGTTTACAGATTTCTAGAAAGCCAGGAAAATAATATACACATTGCCAAAAATAATTACAATGAAGTGTATTGGTCTATTTCCAGGAAAGGAAAAGATTTCATCTGGTAGATCTCAAATTGGCTTTCCTTTAAGCCTTCATTAGTACCATATGATCTACTCCAGCATTAAAAAGTAGAGATTTTATTCCCAACTTTAGAATAGCAAGTATGAAGTGATGAATAAATGGAACCATGAAAGAAGACCTTCCCCTTTAGAGAAAAATATTTCTCCCTTATCTTTAGCTATTGTTACTATGCTCTGAATAAATATAAACATATAATTGGTACCACAGGCCAAATTTCTCACTAGGAAATTCTTTGCAAGTATCTAAAAGACAATGAACAGTTAAGCCTCTGTTACATACAATCAAATTTGCAAACCATCAATATTAGCAGATTGCTTGAAGCAAGAGAAAGGCAGCATTGGACAGAAAGTGTTCTTGTGACTAAACAGAAAGTTCATCTATCTCAGTAATCAACAAACTGTAATAATATGCAATTTGTGTCCATACTGTCCTCAATGTATTCTCAATGGCACTACATCCACATGGAAAGCAGTAAGCAGTGGGATATCACAAGGTTCAGCCTTAGACCCAGTACTCTTCAATGTCATCATAAATGACTTAGATGAGGGAATTGAAAGGGAACACATCAAATTTGCAGATGACACCAAACTGACAGGAGTAGCCAACACCCCAAAAGACAAACCCAGGATCCAAAAAGATCTTGACAAACTTGAACAATGGGCCCTATCCAACAAAATGAGTTTCAATGTGGAGAAAAGCAAAGTTTTACATTTAGGCAGGAAAAATCAAAGGTACAAGTACAGATTAGGCGAGACCTGGCTCAAAAACAGTAACTGTGAGAGGGACCTTGGAATCCTAGTGGACGATCACTTGACTATGAGCCAACAGTGTGCAGCAGCAACCAAAAAAGCTAATACAATCCTGGGTTGTATAAACAGAGGCATAGAATCAAGATCACACGAAGTATTAGCACCACTTTATAAAACCCTAGTAAGACCACACCTGGAATACTGCAGCCAATTTTGGTCACCATTTCACAAAAAAGATGTTGAGAGTCTGAAAAAAAATTCAGAGAGGAGCAACTAAGATGATCAAAGGCCTGGAGACTAAAACATATGAAGAACGGCTGCAGGACTTGGGTTTGGCTCGTCTAAAGAAAAGAAGAAATAGGTGACATGATAGCAGTATTCCAGTATTTGAGGGGCTTCCACAAAGAAGAGGGGGTCAAATTATTCTCCAAAGCACCAGAGGACAGGACAAGAAACAATGGCTGGAAACTGATCAAAGAGAGAAGCAACCTGGAATTAAGGAGAAACTTCCTGCCAGTGAGGACAATTAACCAGTGGAACAGCTTGCTTCCAAAAATTGTGGGCACTCCATCACTGGAGATTTTTAAGAAGAGGCTAGACAGTCACTTCTCTGAGATGGTATAGGTTCTCCTGCTTGAGCAGGGGGCTGGACTAGAAGACTCCAAGGTCCCCTTCCTATTCTATTCTATTCTATTCTATTCTATTCTATTCTATTCTATTCTATTCTATTCTATTCTATTCTATTGATTTCCTAAAAAAAATTAAAAGCGCCCACTTTATTGCAACATCTCTTTGATATCTTTCTGAAGCTAAATAAAGCAGAAACTTGACAGATTAAAAAAAGACAACATGTAATATTAGTGAACAGTGACAGAATCAGTCTTGTATCTTTAAGTCAAGAAATCTGTACTGCCACATTTTTGGCAAGGGCTTATCAAAGAGTCTGACAATCAGTTTAAAGTGCTGAAATCATACACTGATTGATGAAGCAGATTATTGAGCAGTTACAAACTAAAATATCAGATAGCGATCAAATGTCATTCACAATTTAAAACAAGAATATACCAGAAGAAATAGATTTTAAAATTTAACACAATTACAATTATATTCTGTATTATACTCTGGCACTTAATTTAAAATTCATCAGGGCATCCAAGAATATTCCTAATCAGTGATAATATAATTCTTACAACATAGCACCCACAAAAAACATTGCAAGATCTTAAATGTGAGCAATGATTCCAATAGCCTTACAATCTGCCTAAGCTTCTTCATTTCAGTCTTGATGCAACAAGCACAATTAAATAGAAGGACACATGTTTTGAACTGTGCATTTCATGAGGAATATGAAAAGATGCTGTTCCATCCTTTCATTCATGCTGGCCTCTCGATAGTAATATTTGGAACAGCATTCTGGTATGATCCAGCAAGGCTGTTCGTATTATTTTACTGCAGAAAGTCTCAAATTCAATTCTTTCCATAACAGAGCTCTATTTGAGTCTATGCAGAACTGCGGAAAGTTAAAATAAGCATTGAAGATGAGCTAAACAGCTGCCTATCTGGCCTACGTGAAAGATGACAGGAGATATAACTCAGCATCTGGAGAACCACAGGTTATCTATCCATGAAATAAAAAATTGAAATATAAGAATTAATGGCAAAAAGTTATGAATCTGATAGCACTTTTTCTAACATATTTTATTGAAAGCCTTAAATGTTTGTGAGCTGCAGCTTTGCTTTTTAATAAACTTTATTACAGGTAGTCGTCCACTTACAACAGTTCATTTAGTGATTGTTCAAAATTACAACAGCACTGACAAAAATGACTCATCACCATTTTTCACACTTATGACTGTTACAGCATCCCCGTGGTTATGTGATTTACGTTCGGATGCTTGACAACTGACTCACATTTATGACGGTTGCAGTGTCCTGGGGTCATGTGATCCCCTTTTGCAACTTCTGACAAGGAACGTCAATGGAGAAACCAGATGCACTTAACAACAGTGTTACTAATTTAAGAACTGCAGTGATTCACTTAACAAATGTGGTGAGAAAAGTGGTAAAACGAGGCAAAACTCACTTAACAAATTTCTCACTTAGTAACCTAAATTTTGGGCTCAGTTGTGGTCCTGAGGACTACCTACCTGTATAGTTGGAAAAGGTGCTACAGATTCCTTTTAATTTTTCCCCACCACAGATGAATACATATTACTGTGTCCTCAAGAATAACTAACACTCTTTTGATATAAGGCAAAATAAGTATAACTTGGATGTCAGGTTTGCATTCATTGACACTTTAGCTTTTAACAGGGAACTTGTTATAACTGCAAATGTTCATATCAGAAGAAACATGATCATGCCACATTGACCAATCACATTCTCCAGTCAAAGCAAAAGTATTTAGACATTTACCCAGAGATTGCTTTTTTGCGTATTACTTCACTGTCTCTTATACAGAAATATGTCCCTACCAAAATGTATTCCTCTTCATCTTTGCTCTGTGGTTTTGTGATTTAAAA